AAGGAGAGGACCCACGTTGAGGGCCAGTATCTCTGATGGAAGACTTCTCCCCAGGTGACAGAAAAAGGAGGGGCCCAAAGTCTGGTGATGATGGAGCATCAAAGAGCTAGGGAGACACAGAAGAATTAGAACTAGCTGGGAAAAATTCTTCAGGTGTGGACAGAAGTATGAACAAGGTCATCACAAAGAGGTAAAAACAAGTCAGGGCCACATGCTGTCTGGTGGACCAGTCCAGAGGGGCCACACTACCAAGCCCACTACTAATAATAAGGATGAAGAGACCAATGATTGCCAGGCCAAAGGTGCACCAGGCGGTGAGAGGTGTAGGACACATAAGAGCAGATAGGTAAATAAAGCGATTTCAGAAGGAGTAAAGTCTTGAAGGGTCCCTTGAAGGAAAAGATCTGCAGTCTACTCACAAGTGTCTCCGGAACTGTTGTTTCAGACAAACACCAATCCTACAATAAACACTGAACAAATGACACAAAATGACAAAACAGACATGGGCCCAATATGGACAAAGTCTAATATTCCACACTTATTCTCACACTCTTGTACTTCTAGAACCAGAACTAGAACACACTTTTATAGACTTTTAACAGGGCTGTGAGTGATCTAACACCCCCAGGGGTTGATTAAACTCCTGCTTCTATTTCAATGTTGTTTCTGGTGACAGGTGTTGACATACATTTCTGGGAGTCCCGTTCTACCGACACATGTCTCCGAGAGCTTCTGACAGGCTTATGGCCCAACAACCCGGGGTCCCTGTCCAAAGTTCTTGTCTCTTTGGCCTTCCCTTAGAGGTTCTTAAGGGCTCTACATAAATTACCACAAATGAATTCAACAGACAGTTACGTATCTTCACAACAATCCACAACGAATAAGCATAACAAAAATATCATTAATGGTTAATTAATGTCTGCAGACACTACTCAAAAATAGATGTTAAAGTAGTTTACCTCTGGAGGTGGATTCACAGGTGAATTTACTTCCACATGGCTGTTGTTTTAAAAAAGTAAAGAGGATTTTTTTTTTTTCTTTAGTTTCAAATGAGTAATTGACCTTGGGTCTTCTGCTGAGTGCTGGCACATTATCTCAAGGCTATTTGTAACATAGCAACCACAGTTTTTAGTAGGCAAAAAGTTAGAAAAACAGTTTTAACAAATTTTGTATTAACTCTTTAATTGCCAGAAATAGAGGATCTTCAATGCACAAAAGGGCCATGTAAGAAAGATAGAAACCAGTCAGCACAGTATGCTGCCAAATAGACTAAGATTCTGATTCCCACCTGGAAATGATGTTGAAGGCCATGGGAGACATAGAGGATACGAGAGAAAAAGTAAAAGGCTAGTAATTTAATCAGATAATTTGGCAGGGGGAGGCAGGGGACAGAGTCAGTCTTTTACCCAGGGGCTGAGAGATTCTCAGTGGCTGCCCCCTGGGTAAAAAGTGACTCTTGTGCCCCAGCCACAACCAGTGGCCATAGCCTGGGTTAAAATACTTAAGCTCACAAATTGAAGGTGCACCAAGAAGTAAATAATATATAGAAACAAAAGTGATGCCCAGTCTCAAGGATAGTGAACAGTTTACCAGGAAAAAGAAGAGGAAGGAAAACGAGAGACCTCTTTCAGGTTGAAATCTACAAGAGTTCCCTGAAAGAATTGACACTTTTGTTCAGGGTCAAATCAAATACAAAATGACTGACAAATTTCACACAATCAAACCAACATAGGAAGGGGTGAACACGGGGAACAGGGACCTACCAGCAACTCACCCCTTGTGAATCCAGAGGAGAAAATTTGGCAGACTGGGGACTCACCCTTTGTGAGTCCAGAGAAAGGAAACCTGACATACTAGAGACTCAAGAAAGGGAACCTGACAACGTGATCTCCATTTCTTATCATTGCCCTTGGTGTGGCGGCTGAAACCAGAAAAATTCTCTAAACAGATACAAACAGTTAAACAAGTCTGACATAGGAAACAGGGGCCTACTGGATGGCCTCTGCCCTATTACGACAGAGAAGCCAATAACAATACAAAAGGCACACAAACTAAAATGAGCACAGTCGACTGCAAAACCCAGAACAACCCAATAGAAAACTGCAAATACCAGAATAGTCTAAGAGACTGCAAGCCAGCAAGACATGGAGATGTCTTCCCTCTGCCTCAGATTCTTTAGAGATATAAACAGAATAAAATACAGCCAAAAAGCAAAAATCTTCACTCATTTATACAGACCCCACAGAAACACAGAACACCTCAGGGACAGGGATAAGTCTGTCCCTTGCCCCAGGAACAGGCCTCTCAGGCTGTGTCCAGCCTAGCCTATTGTTCCCCCTCAGATTCTCTAGAGATCCACAGAAATCCACAGGCTTACCAAATCAGAAAATTTGGGGAGCCTGTGCCTTTAATTCATGCATTCAAGGGCACTGGGGTGGAGAGCATTTCTCTGAGGCCTTCCCCTGGAGCCATTGGCCAGTGGCGGGCTCAGGCAGGGATGGGTGTGGGTCTAATAATCTTGGGGGGCTTCCAAATACGGTGACTTACATAGCTGAGAAGAAGACACGGACCCCACTTTTATGCAAATAGAAATTTATTACACCTGCAGGGGGAGTTGCCATAGGAAGCAAGTGACCACGAATGACAGATCAAATGGGTTTTTATATCCTATTTCTGCATCACAGCAAGCAGGCAAAGGTACCCTACGTACTTTCTTAGGTTTCTCCTTGAAGTTCTTCCCCCTCCCTATGCACTACCTTATCTTCAGGCCTCTTTTTAGAGTTTTCCTCCCCACTCCTGAGGGGGCTGGGACTAATGGATTCAAAGGAAGTTTCTTTTTCAAGGGCAGGGGACTTGGTTATCACAATAGGTTTCCCCACTTCCCTTCTCTTTCATACCTCCTTCTTGATATCCCAGGACTTTTACTTCTCTCTGTGTTCACATGGGCCCATAAATTAGTTCCAGCTCATTAGCGAGTACATGTGTTATCTGTTATTCCGTTTCTTAGATACTTCACTTAGGACAATGTCTCAAGTTTCATCCATATTACTCCAAAGGACATTAATTCATTTCTTTTTATGGCTGCATAGTACTCCCTTGTGTATATAATATGTACCACATTTTGTTAATCCACTCACAAATTGGTGAGTACTTAGGTTGATTCTGTATCCTGGCAAATGTGAATTGTGCTGCAATAAACATTTAGAGTACAAGTGTCTTTTTGATAAAGTGACTTCTTTTCCTTTAGGTAGATACCCAGTGCAATTTCTGGGTCAAATAGTAAGTCTATTTTTATTTCTTTGAAGATTGTACTGTTTTCCATAGAGGTTGTACTAATTTGCAGTCCTATGAATGTACAAGCATTCCCTTCTCTTTGCATCCACACTAGCATCTATTGGTTTTTGATGTTTTAGTAATAGCCATTCTGACAGGAGTAAGGAGATATCTCATTGTGGTTTTAATTTGGATCTCCTTGATGATGAGAAATGCTGAGCATTTTTTTCATATGATTGTTGGCCATTTATCTATCTTCTTTGAAAAGCTTCTGTTCATGTCTTTTGCCTACTTTTTAATGGGGTTGGCTGTTCTGTTCTTGCTGGTTTGAGTTTTTTGTAGATTCTGGATATTGGCCCTTTATGGGATGTATGGTTTGAAAATGTTTCCTCTCATCCTGTAGTTTGTCTCTTTGCTTTGTTGATCATTTCCATTACTGTCTAGAAGCTTTTTACTTTAATCAAGTCCCATGTATTTTTGTTGTGGCTGTAATAGTCTTTGGGGTCTTAGTCATAAATTTTTTGAGTAGGCTGATGTCTAGAAGAGTTTTTCTTTACATTTTCTTCTAGAATTTCTGTGATTTCATGCCTTAAATTTAAGCCCTTTACCCATCTTGAATTAATTTTTGTAAATTTTATGAATGTTGAGAGATATTCCTTCTTCCTTCCTTCTTCCACATGTAGTTACCCAATTCTCCCAGCAGCATTTGTTTGAATAGGGCTCCTAACCCTCAGTGTATATTGTTTCTGCTTTGTAGTGATCAGTTGATTGTAGGTAGATGGTTTTATGTCTGGGTTCTCTGTTCTGATCCATTAGTCTATGTTGGTTTTTATACCAATACCATGCTTTTTCGGGTATAGTTTGAAGTCTGGTTATGTGATGACCCTAGATTTTTCTTTTTGCTTAAAATTACTTTGGCTACTAGGGCTTTTTTTGGTTTCATATGAACTGAATAATTATTTTGTTTTGAATTTATTATTCACTTCATGTAGTATGACCATTTTAACAATGTTGATTCTTCTGATCCATGAGCATGTTTTTCTACTTGTCTGTGTCATTTGTGATTCAGTGTCTCATAGTTCTCCTTGTAGAGATCTTTCACCTCCTTGGGTAAGTATATTCCTACATATTTTATTTTCTTTATATCTATTATGAATGGTGCTGAGTCTTTGATTTGACTCTCAGGTTGACTGTTATTGGTATATAGAAATGCCTGGGGCCAGCTGTGTCTTGAAATTTAAAATCTGGATTTTAGAAAATTAATACACTGCTTATATGGTATGTTATCTATTGCTCTGAGTGGGGTGCAGGGCACCACCATGTGATGATATACACGAACATTTCAGCAGTGAAATAGGAATATCCACACTAAATTAGGTAATTGGCTAAAATTAACCTCATGTCATTTTTTTTTTTGCAGCTTTTTTTGGGGGGAGCAGGTTTGAACTTGCACCTCTGGCATATGGGGCTGGTGCCCTACTCCTTTGAGCCACAGGTGCTGCCCAACCTCATGTCATTTTAAGGTAGTTTTTGCCACCAAATGAACTTTGGTGCCAAATCTACAATAAGTTATTTGGTTTTTGGAGCTTCTTAGGCTTTCAGCTATGGGATTATAGACCCATAAATTACATATGGGCTTTTAAAGGCTTTTGCATTCTAAGTATATTTTGCCTTATTGACTTTTCAGATACTTTAACTTGACTTTTTTTTTTTTTCACTTTTTAAAGGAGTTATAGAAGTTTCAGAATTAGCTGATGCTTTGAAATCTCTTGGTATGCCTGTTTCTGAAGCTCAGGCAACCACAATTCTTCAAAGGTCAGTCCTTATCCTTATTTTTAATAGTTTTCATGTGTATTTTATATTCCATGTTAGAAATAAATTGCTATAAATGTGGCATTTTCTACCTTATTCTATAACTTTGTGAACAAACTTACTCTTTAAATTAATTCTGTATTACTTTGAGCCTATCCCTTTAGAATCAACTTGCAGGGCCCAGCACAGTGTCTCATGCCTGTAATCCTACCACCCTGGGAGGCCGAGGTAGGTAGATTGCTTGAACTCAGGAGTTTGAGACCAGCCTGAGCAAGAGTGAGAGCCTATCTCTAAAAATAGCAGGGCATTATGGTTAGGCGCCTATACTCTCAGCTACTTGGGAGGTGGAGGCAAGAGAATCATTTGAGCCCAAGACTTTGAGGTTGCTGTGAGCTATGATGCCATGGCAGTCCTTAGAGAGCAACAAACTAATACTCTGTCTTTAAAAAAAAAAAGTAAAAGCAACTTGCAAAGTCATTCCCTAGATCATTTAAGCATCAGAACCCAAGTAAATTTACATCTACTACCAGTGGAAGGGTTTTTCAAACTGTGCTTAATGAGACCTTCTGTGTTTATGTGGGAGGAAGATGGGGCAACATCAGAAGGAGCTGAGTATGTCTTTTATAAACAACTTGTATCTGGTTTTATTTTTATTCAACCTGACAATTTGTTTTTGATAGATGACTTTAGCATGTGCGCACACGTGCGCGCGCGCGCACACACACACACAGAGCACTGATTAGATTTGTTTCTATTTATACATTTTTGCCTTCTACCATCTTGGTCTTTATGTGCTTTTCTTTTTTCCTTTATAATAATTTTCTTTCATTTTTTATAGTCATGTTTTAATAGCTTGAAATTTATATGCTTTATTTCTTGTTAACAATTGGTCTTGACGTTCTATTGTACAATTTAATTTAAAGATTAAAAAATATCTACTTCTTCTTCAAACAGTGGAAAGACTTTAAAATACTTTCATTTCCTATTATCTATCTCCTGCTGATATATATGCTATTCTGTTCTCTTTTAACTGAATAAATACTGCAATTGTTATTTTGTATAGAAAATTTGTTTAGCGTTTTATTTACTACCCATTTTTTCTGGGTAGGATAGTTTTTCTTCTTCATGAACTTATATCATTTGAAAATTCCTTTAGGGGAAATATATTGTTACTGAACTCTTAAGTTTTTGAGTATCAGAAAACATGTCTATATTACTTTCGTTCTGGAAAGAGTTTTGTTAGCGATATAATTCTAATTTAGCAATTATTTATTTCTCAGAAAAATATTCTTTTAGATTTTTTTAAAAAATATGTATTTTTTAGGCATTATTCTACTGTCTTTTAGATTCTACTATTAGGTGGAAGTTTGGGTCCGTCTAATTATTGATCCTTGCTAGAGAATTGATCTCTTCTCTGGGTTTCCTTTTATGATCTTCTTTTTGTCTTTGGTGTTCTGTATAGCTAAGACAGTGAATAGGCCTGGCTTTCATTTTATTAATTATACTTCCTCGGCATTAATGTTGTACTTCTGAAATTGTGTGTTCATGTCTTGTAACAATTTTGGAAAATTCTCAATCTTTATGTCTTTTAAATATAGCCTCCCTTTCATTCTTTTCATTCTCCTTTTTCATATTTTATCCTTTCTTTTTTTTGTGTGTAGCATTCTGGGTAAGTCATCCAAATATATATTCAGATTTATTAACTCTGTCTTCTGCCATATCTTATCTTCATGTAACCATTCTGTTGAGTTTACTTTTTTTAATTACGCTTTTTATTTATAGAAGTTCCATTTGTCTTTTTTCAAATATGTTTGATAATTTCTTGTAGTTTCTTACTCCTTTTTGGGTATTCTGAATCTTATCTTTTATCTAACATGAGATGTATGTTCTTAAGATGTATGTACATAAGATGTATGTACTTAAGATGTATGACTGGGGTCCCGCCCTGGGGGCAGGAGTCTTTAAGACCTGTGGAGCTGGCCATGAAAAATAATGTTAGAAGCAGTGAGAGTCAAAGAGGACATGTAGAATAGAGTTTTCAAAGGTGGGAACACAAGGAACCTCTGCTAGCTTGTGGGGTTCACAGAAGTGGCCCCAAGTGTCAGTTCCACCCTGCTTTTATGGAAGGCTATTTCCTCATTAGCCCAGAGGGTGAGCTGTGGAAAGGAACAAAAATGTCAGCAATTTCTCAGAGTAAGCATGTCAGCTCCTATTGTTTCTATAAGCATTAACTTTAAGGATCTGAGCAGTCTTGAGAAATCCAAAACCTGAGCCTTGTATGGGCGCAGCCTCCTACCTGTGGGCACACATATTCTAAAATAAATCCCTTGGTGGTGGTGGTGGGGAGGTTAATCCCTGTGGAGTAAAACACCAACAGTGTCAATCTCCTCTGGAGAATTGGTGAGACAGAAGAATTTTCCTCTGATCTCCACTCAGAGGGTCTTCCTCTGTGATAAGGGATATAAGCTCTCCTACCCATATTTCAGGACTCAGGCTGTTCCCTTGATCTCTGCCCTGGCCAAATACAATTCTCCACAATGGGTATTTGCTTTGGCTGTTAACTAGGCAGGAGACAGCCTGGTTAATATTTCTTGCCATGCCTTGCATGGAGCTTCCCTGTGGCCATTGTTTCTTCAGAGTGTTCACAGGCCCAGCAGGGGTATTTGCAAGCTGTTCCTCCTCTAGGCCAGGCTTCTAGCAAAAGCAAGAAATTTGCTCAGATAAGAAATTTAGCAGCTGGTTTAGCTGACCTGTTTTTATTCCACTTTACTCAGCTTATTTCTTTTTTTTTCCTTTTTCTGGGGGTGTTCTCCCTTTCCAAAAATGGGGTCTTTGGTCTCTATTCTGCCATCAATTTTATATCTGAAAGTTGGAATATTTTAAGTACTTGAAAGCATCAGTCTTTTTTTGGCTGTTGCTGTGGATAAAATCTAAGTAAACATATACTTTATAAGAAATATATTTTCCAATAAATAGAAATGTTGAATGAGAAAGGATGGAGAAAGCAAAACTTATTACTAAAAATCAAAAGGGACATTTTATAATGATTAGGAATTTAATTTACATAAAAGATACAACAATTCTAAGTTCCTATGGATTTCAAAATATAGTCCCAAGTTTATAAGGAAGGAATTGATGAAACTACAAGGAAGAATAGATAAATTAGTGACTATTATACAACAGTTTAACACAGATTCATCAATAGAGAAAACAGACAGAAAATGTCATTAAGGATAGAATATTTGAATAGTGTACACCATTGATATTTATTCAGCAGACATACATAGAATATTACACTCAAAAATGCAGAGTATTGGCTCAGCACCTGTAGGACAATGGTTACAGTGCTGGGCACATGCACCAAGGCTGGCAGGTTCAAACCTGTCTGGGCCAGCTAAACAACGACAATTGCAACAACAACAAAAATAGCTGGGCATCATGGCAGACGCCTGTAGTCCCAGCTACTTGGGATGCTGAGGCAAGACAATCGCTTAAGCCCAAGAGTTTGAGGTTGCTGTGAGCCGTGACACCATGGCATTCTACCAAGGGTGACATAGTGAGACTCTGTCTCACAAAAAGAAAAATGCAGAGTATGCATTTTAAAAAACATGTATAGAAAATTTATAAGAATTGACTATATGCATGCTGTATCATTAAGGAAATGTAAAAGATTAAAAAGAGGTCACTACATACTGGTCATGGAAACAATACAACAAGAAGACATTCAAATTCTAAATATTTATGCACCCAATATAAATGCTGTCAGACTTATGAAACAGACCTTAATTGGTCTGAGCAATATGATATCCTATAACAGTGTAATAGCTTGGGACTTTAACACTCCTCTTACAGAGCTGGAAAAATCCTCTAAACAGAAACTAAACAAAGATAAAAGAGACTTAAATGCAACCCTACAATAATTTGGCTTAATAGACATTACAGAACATACCATCCCAAAGCTAAGGAGTATATGTTCTTCTCATTAGCCCATGGAACATTCTCTAAAATAGATCATATCCTAGGATACAAATCAAACCTCAACAAAAATCAAAAGAATTGAAATTATACCTTGTATCTTTTCAGACCACAGAGCAATAAAAGTGGAACTCAACTCCAACAAAAGTTTTCAACCCCACACAAAGGCATGGAAACTAAACAACCTTATGCTGAATGAGAGATAAAGGAAGAAATCATTAACTTCCTCAGACATAATAATGAAGACACAGCCATCACAATCTGTGGGAGACCTCAAAAGCAGTCTTAAGAGGAAACTTATCACATTAGATACCTACATCTGAAAAACAGAAAGAGAACACATCAACAACCTAATGAATCATCTTAAAGAAATGGAAAAGGAAGAGCAATCCAATCCCAAACCTAGCAGAAAAATAGAAATAACCAAAATTAAATCAGAAATAAATAAAATTGAAAACAAAAAATTCATTCAGTAAAGTAACAAAACAAAAAGTTGGTTCTTTGAAAAGATAAATAAAATTGATAAACCATTGGCCAGATTAACTAGAAACTGAAAAGTAAAATGTTTAGTAACTTCAATTGGAAATGAAAATAGCAATGGATAGCACAGAGATACAAGAGGTTATTTCTACCTGCTACCAAAAATTTTGTGCCCAGAAATTTGACAGTGTGGAGGAAATGGGCCAATGCCTGGAATCATATCCTCTTCCTAGACTTAACCAGGAAGAAATAGATCTCTTGAACAGACCAATATCAAGCACTGAGATTGCAGAATAATAAAAATGCTTCCAATATAAAAAGCCCTGGACCACACACCTTCATATCAGAATTCTATCGAACCTTCAAAGATGAGCTTGTACCTATACTTTGGAACCTATTCCAAAACATTGAGAAGGAATGAACCTTCCCTCACATGTCCTATGAAGTGAACATCACCCTTATTCCAAAGCCAGGAAAGGGCACAACTAAAAAGGAGAACTACAGATCATTTTTACTAATGAATATCAATGCAAAAATAGTCAATAAAATCTTGGCTAATAGATTACAGCTACACATTAAAAAAATTACCCATCACGTTCAAGTAGGCTTCATTCCAGGGATGCAAGGCTGGTTTAACATATGAAATCCATAAATGTAATCTACCATATCAATAGAAGGAAAAACAAAGACCAGTATAATCCTTTCAAGAGATGCAGAAAAAGCATTTGATAAAATTCAGCATCCTTTCCTAACAAGAACGCTTAAGAAAACAGGCCTAGATGGAACATTTTTTAAGCTGATAGAAGCCATCTATGACAAACCCACAGCTAATATTATACTGAATGGAATAAAACTGAAAGCTTTTGCACTTAAAACTAGAACCAGACAAGGATGTCCACTATCCCACTATCACTACTATTATTAAACATTGTGCTATAAGTTCTAGTCAATGCTATCAGGCAAGAGAAGGATATAAAGGGCACCCAAATGGGTGCAGAGGAGATCAAACTCTCACTCTTTGTTGATATGATTTTATACTTGGAAAACCATACAGACTCAAGTGATCAGGAAATACAGTAACATCTCAGGGTATAAAATCAATGTGCACAGATCAGTAGCATTTTCATATGCCAATAATAGCCAAAATGAGAAGCAAATCAAGGATATAATTCCTTTCACTGTAACTTCAAAGAAAATAAAATACTTAGGAATATACCTAACAAAAGTGGTAAAGGAGTCCTACAAAGAGACTTATGAAATCCTAAGAAAAGAAACAGCAGAAGATATTAACAAATGGAAGAAGATACCATGCTTTTGACTGGAAAGAATCAACATTGTTAAAATGTCTTTTCTACGCAAAGCAATCTACAGATTCAATGCAATCCCCATCAAAATACCAACATCATGCTTTGAAGAACTGGAAAAAATAGTACTTCATTTTGTATGGATGGAAAACTTATATAACCAAGGCAATTCTTAGTAATAAAAACAAAGCTGGAGGTATCACTCTCCCAGACTTCAGGTTATAAGTCCCCACTCATCGAAACAGCATGATATTAGCACAAAAATAGAAATATGGACATGTGGAACAGAATAGAAAATGAACAGATGAAACCAGTCTCTTACTGCCATCTGATTTTTGATAAATGAAGCAAAAGCATACAGGGGGGGAAAGAATCCTTATTCAACAGATGATGCTGGGAGAACTGGATACCCACACATAAAAGACTTGAAACTGGACCCACACCTTTAGCCACTTACAAAAATTGACTCAAGATGCATAAAAGATTTAAATCTAAGGCACAAAACAGTAAAAATCTTAGAAGAAAGTGTGGCAAAATCTCTTGATGATGTCAGCCTGGGAAAAGATTTTATGCAACTTCAGCGGCAATTACAACAACAAAAATAAACAAATGGGACTTAATTAAGCTGAAAAGCTTTTGCACAGCTAAGGACACAACAATTAAAGCAAAGACAACCTTCAGAATAGGAAAAGATGTTTTCATGGTGTGATTCTGACAAAAGGTTGATAAGAAGAATCTATTGAGAACTTAATCAACAAAAAAGGAATAAAAAATCCCATCTACCACTGGGTAAGAGACACGAACAGAAACTTCCTTAAAGAAGACAGAAGAATGGCCAACAAACATGTGAAAAAATGCTCATCATCCCTAATAATCAGAGAATTGCAAATGAAAACCACCCTGAGATATCACCTAATCCCACTGAGACTAGCCCACGTTACAAAGTCTCAAAGCTGCAGCTACTGGCATGGATGTGGAGAGAAGGGAACACTTTTCCACTGTTGATAGAACTGCAAAGTAATACAAGCTTTTTGGAAAAAAATATAGAGAATCCTCAAAGGACTTATATTAGACCTCCCATTTGATCCTGTAATCTCATTACTAGGCATCTACCCAGATGAAATAAAATCATTTTATCATAAGGACATTTGCACTGGATTGTTTATCATAGCTCAATTTACAATTGCTGGGATGTGGAAACAACCTAAATGCCCATCAACCGAGGAATGGATTAACAAATTATAGTATGTGATACCATGGAATACTATTCAGCTATTAAAAAAGATGGAGACTTTATATCTTTTATATTAACCTGGACGGAAGTGAACACATTATTCTTAGTAAAGTATCATGAGAATGGAGAAGCAAGTATTCAATGTATTCAGTACTAATGTGAAAACAGTAGATCATTTACTACATACCCACATAAGAGAAAAACTCAAATAAATTCAAGGTGGGGGGAGATGGAACCAGCAAGGGGACAGAGAGGAGGAGGGAGGGGGATGGGTGTGCTCCCACTTAATGGGCACAACGTTAGAGTGTGTGGCATGCCTCTTGGGGGCAGGACACAATTATAAGAGGGACTCTACCTAACAACTGCAAAGATTGTAACCTATTTCTTTGTACCCTCAAATTAACCTGAAATTAGAAAAAAATAATTTGGGGAGAAAGAAAGATAAAAACGAATTGGAATTATACAAATATGTTGTCTATCCATAAAGTAACTAAACAAGAAATAATATTTCTTATAATTAAAATATTTTTAAAGTACTAATAAGTAGGAAAAGTTGGTAGTTTTATTAATCTGTGGATTTTTTTCAGATACAAAAAATGGTATTTTATAAGCCATTACTCACAAAATTATATTTTGCTATGCTTTTTGGAATATTGGAAATACATGTTTTGCTAAATCTTACTCTCTAAGATAAATTTTGCATTGCAAATAGCAATTATGTATTCAAAAGTTACTTATAGAACTTCTGTAAACATTAGTCATATCTCTAGCTGCAAATGATGCAGTTGTAACAGGGCCAGAACTTTCTGCTTCAGAGTTTCAGGTAAGTAGGGGAAGTAATAGCAGGTACTAACCATACAGTGTCATAAGTGAAAGCAGACCGAAGTTGTGTACATGGCCCATTCACTGATTTTTTAATAATTATTTTTTATCCGAAAATACCTTTATTTCATTGTAATTATTATTATTTTTTTTGAGACAGAGTCTCACTCTATTGCCCTTGGTAGAGTGCCATGGCATCACAGCTCACAGCAACCTCAGACTCTTGGGGATTAAACAATTCTCTTGCCTCAGCCTCCCAAGTGGGACTACAGGTGCCCACTACAGCACCCAGGTATTTTTTTGTGGCAGTTGTCATTGTTGTTTAGTTGGCCCAGGCTGGGTTTGAACCTGCCGTCCTCGATGTATATGACTGGTGTCATAAGCACTGTGCTATGGGCACGGAGCCTTCATTGTCATTTTTGAAGGTTATTTTTGTTGTATATAGAGTTCTAGGTTGACAGTTTTGTCTTTCAGCACTTGGAAGTTGTTTTTGTTCTAGCTTCCCAGTTTTCTTTAAAATCTAAAACTGTTTTAAAATAAAGTCTATTTAAAAAAAATATGGAAATATGGTGATATTCATGAAGTCCAAAGGAGTGGCTCTAATAATAAATATTTAAGGAACATTTGATTAATTTCTATAATGGTGCTAACTTTGTTATAAATGTTATAAGCAGTTTTATTTTTTAATTTCAGCATAGATACTGATGGGACAATGACAATAGACTGGGATGAATGGAAGTACTACTTTTTACTTCATCCTGCAACAGATATCACTGAGATTATTCGTTTCTGGAAGCGTTCTACTGTAAGATTACTTTGCATCTTCCTCTCTTAATTTTGCTCTAAGTGTCCATGGCTACCTTAATGATAACATAATCCCTACAATACTTGCTGCCTTAGTGGGCAAAGTTACCTCTTATAATATCCTACAAATGTAGCAAGGGGTGTTAGTGTTATATCTACAAACATAGTGACCACCATTTTTTTTGTTTGTTTTCTAAATCTGGAACTTAAATTTAATTCTTAACACAATAGATACTTTGTATTGAGAATTAATTACTATGATGGAGTAGTTAAGACTGCCTTATTAAACTGGAAAGTAATATTTGTTTCTTGTTTCACAGATAAGATGTACTTGATTGAGTCTTCTATCATAGGAAATGTAAAGTCAAATATTAGGATTTCAAAATTTTAGAGCCAGAAAGTAACAAATATGTAATCTACCTGCTTATTTTATATGAACACTTGGCTTGGAGTTGTAAGGAAAAAAGACTTGCAATTAAAGACTTCATTTTCTTTCTTTCTTTCTTTTTTTTTTTTAGAGAATTAAATGATCATTTGTTCATGGCATGTTCTTGTCATTTACCCTCATGAGTTTTTGGCTCCTTTCCATAGACAATAAGGGAGGAAAAGAGCACAGGCTCTGGAATCAGACTGGCTAGGCTTGATCTGCCTTGTATCTGCCACCCATTACTTATATAAAACTTGTCTATGTCTTAGTATTACTGAGGAAACTTGAGAATTAATACGTTGAGAATTAGTTACTATATTTATGTTAGTGTTAATAAGTGTCAGTTACTATTATAGGCACTTATTCCAGTGTTTAATCTGTGTTCTTGAATATTTATATATTGTTAGGGAGAGTGCAATATTATTTCATGTGTGTGCTTTTAGTTTGCTGTATTTTGCCACTGTGCATAATGCACTCCTATTATAATGCACACTCACATTTTTGGCCCAAACTTTCAGGAAATGCCCCTCAAAAAAGTGGCCATCTCTGGGGTGAGGGAGACAGAACTGGGGAGGTCTAATGCTGCCCTGGTAAACTTGCAGATTGCACCTGCCCTTCAGCAGCTGCCAGCTGTGAAGGCTGTTCCTTCTCTCTCTCCTAGGAGCCCTTTTTTTCCATCATGTCATGGGCTGCTGCAGAGATGGCCATGCTTGCATGTAGCTGGTGAGGCGGGAGTTTCTGAAGCTGTTCAGTCCATGGGCAGCCAGTGGGGTCTCTGAGAACTGTGTGGGGCTCCTGGTCCCTTACATGTGACTGGGGGTCAGGCCTCAGCCCTTGCCTTGCTTGGCTATGGTTGCCTCACTAGACCCGCCACTGATTGTGGTGCTTGGCAGAGGCTGCTCTGTCCTGCTCCCAGGGGATCCGGATCCTCCTGGACTAGAACCCCATGTGCCTGGTGGTCCCAGGTAGGAGGGCATGACAGCCCCAGGAGGCCTGCTGGACTCCCTGACTCCTGAGCTGATTTACCCATGTGAAATACATACCCTTATTTTTCCCTCAAAAATGTGGGCAAAAAAGCCTATATTATATACCACAAAATATGGCATGTAGACAGTGTTGTGCTAGAGGCCACATCTGATTTCTTACTTTATGATTTGTCCTTGTTGTATGTTCATCTAGTTTGTTCCTTCCAGCTACTACGCAGTGTGTGTAAGTCTCATCTTCTTTGTCAGCGCCCCTAGTAATAGTCATCTCGGCTTTCTCCAATTCCACACTCACAAAAAAATGTTTCCCTCTTCCGTACCTCAGGGGATGTCACAAAAAATTTTGAGTTATAGGAAACATGTATATTTGTACAGTTTACTAGGGTACCCAGTCTCAATTTTATTTTAGTTTCATGAACTCTTGCCATATTTGTTTCCCAGAATGGTTTGCTGTACCAATTTACTGCCAGCAAGAGTGAAGTTCTGGTTTGGCATTGTTCAGTATTCAAATATGTACCATTCTGTAGGGTCTAATGGGTATCAGGTGATATCTCATTGTTTTAATGTTCATTTCTTTGACCCCTACTACATTCTGAACATAGCTTCATAGAAATATTAGCTATCAGCTCAGTGCCTATAGCTCAGCAGTTAGGGCACCAGCCGCGTACACCAGGGCTAGTGGGTTTGAACCTGGCCTGGGCCTGCCAAAAAACAATGACAACTACAACAGCAAAAAAAAAAAAAAA